TTGCTTTGCTAAGTTAAGGGGTTATCGCGTGGTTTCTGGGACACAGGACCCGTTAACTCGTTAAGTTATTACACGTTGAAAAGATTTAGTTTCACTTATTTTCTGTAACTATTGCGATTTAAGAGTTTATTCATTGCAACTCTGATCACTATCAAGTTTTAACATTTTTCAGACTCTATTTTCTGTCGTTTGAAATTTAAAAATTCGCAAAGAAATAGCGGTAAATTTGTGTCAAGGGTTGGTACGCATGCGCAGATCCAAATATGCGATATATGTTTATTGGCTGTTTTGCCTATCGACATGGGTCTAAAATCTGTCTGAAATTAATCAGTACTGTATTTTTAGTGAACTAGAAAGGTAAGATCCCTGCGTTATTTATCTTCTGTATAATACAATGATTTCTTCATTTGCTAGAAGAGAAGAGTTTGTTTGTGGTCACACCTATCGCAGTTGAAGACTGAAATCCTGGCAACCACCAATTTGCATGCCATAGACATACAGTCACATAGTCCCAACGTTATACTACATTAGTATTTGTGTGTTGTGTGATGTTAGCTTGACTGCAATGAAATCCCAATGTTTATGTGTGGTTAAATTTTATTCCGTTATTTTATAAAGATAGTTTTAATAAACGATAGAGTCATGTACAAGTTTAAATAATAGTTCTGATTTTGACAACGAAAAGGAGAAACCGTGAGTCGTAAGGACAAAATATTACCTTTTAAATTAATGAGCCACCAGATATGATTAGCCTTAAAATTTGTCACCAGATTAGCACCCATATTAAAGTCACTAATTGCTGTACTGCTAATATACTACTGATTACATACATATTCACTGTAGATAGAGCTTACATATGCTGGTAGCTATTATTATCATGTGTAGCACACAGACTCTGTCAACAGTACTTATACTGTTGAATTATTTTTGTATTAAGTATTGTTCTCTGTTTAAACAGTTCTTGATTATTGGCAGTAGTATATTTGTAAGTTGAATACATACATTAATGGAAAGAGAATAAATATGATGAAGAAAAAAGTATCTGCAGATATGAATCTATTAATGCTACCGTACTCTGTATTTAAGTTGTGAAATTATCATATAACGTATTTCAAATTCTATCAGCAGTTTATTTAGATTGTCATATTCACTATTTATTCTGTGCAACTAAAGCAAGATATGTCTGCATTTCTTGTCTAGTAGTATAAATCTTTTTTTGTCTACACTTGAATTTGGAGGTGTATGTAGGCTGATCAGTGAACTATACGAGTACACATGGTGATGGTTTTGTTTTTCACTTTGTAGACTTGGATAGAAATCTAAGTGATTGCACATACATGTATTCCTTTTTTTCTCATTGACTCACCTATGATCTTTTCTTTGCCCTTCTTTGTTACCCTAGGCAACATGGTTTCCTCAAAAAAATGTACGAACACCCTGCATGTATATATAATATGGTTAAAAAGAAAGTCATTCAATTGAAAAACACTTTTAATTTGTTTTAATGATAAAAATGAAATTGATCAAGAGGAAATTTTGATATTTGAGATGGTGAAGCGCATGTCATTCTAAAGTAATTGTTGAAAACCAAACATCTGTTATGAATCTGTTATTCATTCACTGATCAATACATTGTTTTGATTTGTGTTGAATGTTGTGATAACACCGGAGATGAAAGGGGCGTGGTGAACATGTCTATCCACTGCATAATACAAATACATAACAGCTATTTGAGAAAGTGAAAGATTATAAAATAATTGCATAATTTGTTGTAATAGAAACCATGTCAACTGAATTTGAAGCAGATTACTAAATTATTTATTGAGTAATCTAGATTGAATCAAAGAATAGTTTTTAATAGTTAATTTCCTTGTAATTTCAATTAAATAAAATTGAGTTTAATTTGGTGTGGCTTTTAAGAGAAACTGAAAATTTATGATAGTCTTTTTTCACATTAGTACCTAGCTAGCTAGCTTGTCTTTCTTTTGATAATTGTTACTCACTAGTTATAGTTATTTATGATCCAATATCCACGCAAAAATAAATACTCAGTTAACTTGTCAATGTGACAGGTCTGTGATATTACTTTTATTGTCTTTGCTTAAATATATATAAAATTGATCTTATGTATTCTGAAGGGACCTAATTTAAAAGCCAATACTGTTTTAGCTAAAGAAATAGTACACTAGTTGACTATTTTGAAAGTGAAAAGGCAGTTAGGTGGGCTGTCCTCTGCAGTGATATTTTTAAAGTCAGAGCCTCAATTTCTGTTCTTATTATGCAAAATATTATTTTTGATCAAACGTTTAGAAATTATTGAATGTTTCCTTAAACTGAATTTTCTTGTCTGTTCCGTTTTGCGACTAAAAATCTTGTTAAGTTCAGCCTATTATAATCCTGACTCCAATCATATCATAATAGTACGGATATTACCACTTATATTCTGCAAAATACATGTAAATATAATTCTTTTTTTCCACTGTGGCATATTAGGTGAGTGGGCTACTGGCTTTTGTGTGAGTTTTGTACTGCCATCAGGGTATGCTAGTAATGAGGTATCAAACCATCTCTAGTAATAAACATCAGAATGTTTTTTTATTCATGACTTGTTATTATAATCCCTATCAATTCCTTTACCTGTATGTTATTAATTATATGTACACCATTTGATCATAATATAATTACTGTAAGACTTTATTGCCACTGTGCTCATAACATTTTTTAAAATTAAAATCAAAATGATTCTACCTATTCATGTTCACTGAAAATATTACTACCGGTACTTTATTTTTAATGAAGCCCTACAAGGTGTACGATATTCCCATGGTGCATTTCATTTATTAGCAGTATTATATACGTTCAACTTCTTGTTGTGTAAGACAAAATGATGTTCTGCTCTGAAACTTTCTTTCTAAATACAGGACTACAAAATATTAAGGGTTGGGTGCGCGATTTCAATTCTGGTTGTGTGGGCTGGTGGAATTTAGTTTTCTGTTTTTACTCATGTATATCTGATGAAAATGTTTTTCTGATTCTTTTTTAATAATTCGGTCTCCGTCCGTCCGTGTGTCTGTGCGTCCATCCGGAGTCATATCTCAGAATCCTGTGGACCGATTCCGTTCATTCTTTGCATGTGCCTAGTACCTTTTGTGGGACATATGCACATGCAGTGGTTTAGCGATTCGATTCAAAATGGCCGACTTGCAGCCATCTTGTTTTTTGAAAATGTTGTATTTTGGACATGCTTTGTCAGTTGTCATTCAAACTTGGTACATAGATTATACATGTTAGGATACATGTCCATGACGATTTATTTCGCAATTGGATCAAAGATGGTTGACTGGCAGGCATCTTGTTTTTGTTTTTTATGCGGTATCTTGGATGTGCTCTGTCAGTTTTCATTCAAATTTGGCACATACATGTACTTTATACATGTTAGGATGCATGTCCATGACAATTTGTTTCAAAATCTGGTCAAGGATGGCTGATTGACAGCCATCTGACTTTTTGGCCTTACTACTATATTTCCACAATTTATGTACCATTTTCATTCGTATTTGGCACATACATCATACATATCAGTGTGTTTCATAATCAGATCGAAGATGGCTGAATAACGGCTGTTTTTATTTTGGCCATATTACTATGACACGAAACACGTGTTTTGATGTAAATAAACAATCTGTTGTATACGCCACTTGGAACTCAAGTTTCAAGGACATGCTCGCGACAACCCCTCCGCTTTAATATGACGAGCACAAAGAGAACTTAACGGGGACTGTGTCATTTTCAATGACTTGTTTTACATTAATCTGTCATTTTTTTTCACAAAATCATCAACTTCACCCCAGTTTTGAAATAGGAAACCCCTCATCCCGCTATAATTCGCATAAGTGAAATGCACTGTGGAAGTACCACAATGCACATGTACATAGGAATTCTTTTGTTGAAGCAGTGATAGCCACGGATCCACATATCATTTTTCAATCAACAATCGCCTACATATCTCAGTCATATACCAGGTTACTTTCATTTTCAAAAGAAGCAACAGGTCTTTTGGCCTATTTTGCTAACAATGAAGTTTTGTTGACATGATTGGTTATTACAGGATACTGAGGTCAAGTTGCTTGACATCCTATTGTACCTATTGTATAGGAAGAAAATAGGTAAATAGAACACACAATTATGTTGGAGAATAGATCGCTGATACTTTTCTCAGTAAATGAAAATAATGAATTTAAAAACTGAATGATTAAAAAAGTGGTCCTAATTTATTGGGAATATGTTAATCATAAATACATGTAAACTTTAAGAGGGCTGGCTCATCAACCATATTGCAATTCCAAATTTTAGTGCATTGTAGGATAGTTATGTTAGATTGTACTACCAGGCACGCTTTGTGATGGGTGGAGTTGTGTTCGATCATGGTTCAATGGTCAAAATTACCCCACAATCCACTATGATTTTGAATTGCGATATCGTCTATGCCACAGTTTTAATTATTTAAATAAGTTTATGCAGTTTTCTCTAAAAAACAAAGCGTCTTTTGTGTAAAAAATTTGAAGCATTTTTTGGTGTTCGCTGAGGCAAATGACTTCTTAGCTGGCTTTTTCATTACAAAGATACTGGGAGGTACTGGTAGACTTTGAATTGTATGTACTTTGAATGCTGCAATACCATCATTCAAGATTTCTATCTTTTTGACAGATTATAATAAATGTGACTAATATGTTAACTACTTTTGATCTAAATCTTATTATGAAATTCTGTCTGATCAGTGTGCGAAATAAGTGCTAACCCGGAGGTCCCAGGCCAACTATTTTTCTGCCGGGCCAGGAACTTTATTAAAAAGCTGGTCCGAGTGTCTTGCTAATATTTTTAATATATACTATTGCTATTAAAAAGGACAAAATTCATCATTCCGGCGGTAGAAAAAACTTGCAATGCCTAAAAATACTCAAACAACAATTCGATCATGGAAATTAGCGCTAGTTTCGCAC